CGGGTTGTATTTTGTCCGTTTCATCATTTTAATTTACAAAGTTTCTTTTAATTACTATCAATCCGGGTTGTATTTGTTCGCTTCAGCATTTTAATTTCTAAAGTTTCTTTTAACTAATATCACTTTGAATTATATTTGTCCGTTTCATCATTTCAAATTCTTTAACTGATTTCAATCCGAGTTGTATTTGTCCGTTTTATTATCTTAACTTCTAAAGAAACTATCAATCCGGGTTGCATTTGTTTGTTTCATCATTTTAATTTCTAAAGTTTCTTTTAACTAATATTAAGTCTGGGTTGCATTTATTCGTTTTAGCATTTCAATTTTTAAGTTTTTTAAAACTAAAATCAGCCTAGGATGTATCGGTTCTTATGATCAAGGTTCAAATTTATATATATTTATTTTTTTTAATTTTTTAAAATTTTTGCAACAGAGTTACGCTTTTTTTACGATTTCAAGATAACGTAAGAATATTTACGTCATTGTTGCATGTCAATGATAGTGGAAATTTTCAATAAGGAAGTAAAAAAAACCTCTCAAAAATTTCATTTTATTTCTGTTAATTAAAAATTTTATTTAAAATTAAACTTACTACAATAAACTTCTTGCAATTATCAGCATTTTTCTTAAGAGTAAAAAAAAATGATTGCAACAATGTTGAAATTTTTTCCGCATCATTCGAAAACTTATCCAAAATTAAATGAATAATAAATACATATTGATAAGTATGGATATTAGTATAGATGAGTATAGATATAGATATTAATATGGATATACATATTGAGTATGGATATATATTTATATGGATAAGTATGAATATACATATTGATAAATATGGATAAGTATGGATATTTCTTGAAGCAATCCCGGAATTATTTTCGTTTTTCTTTTTTCCAATTTTAGAAATGGGAAATATTTTATTGAGATAAATTGAATATGGAAACAATACTGTTTATAAATGAATTGCTTCTTATAAACTTCAGAAGTCTATTTAAGTATTATAAAATTTGTTGTAAAAAAAAATAGTCAATTGAATATTTTGGAAAGTTGAAGATTTCACTTCTTCTATTTCAATTTTTCATTTTCAACTTTTGAAAGTTAAGCAGTGAAATTTGATGATCAAATTAATTGATATGATATCCAGTTGGAATAATAATGTATATATGTAAAGACGATTTATTTTAGAAGAAGACAAATGAATGAGAAGATTATTTAAATGAGGAATGTGAATGAAGAAGTTTTCATTAAATGAGCTAAAATCGTTTGTTTTAAATTTTGTATGAAAATTAAATTTTTTGATAGTACACTGAAAATTTAAGAGAGAAATAAAGTGAAATTAAAAATTAGTACTATGATATTATTGGCGTTAAAACAAAGCATAAAATGCATTTTACGATATTATACAAATTGTTAATAAAATGGTTTAAATTTTGATTTAGAAATTTTATTTAGAAAATTAATTTCGTAGAAAAGGAAATGGGTTGATAATAGAATGAAGATCATTTAATTAAAACATATAATTAATAAATAGACCTGTTAAATTTAGTTGCAATTTTTTTTTCTACGAATTTTTTCAATTTTATTTATTGTTTTAAATTTTTACCAAATATTTTAAGGAATTGCTTTTTGCAATTTTTACTTCACTTTCGGTTTAGATGATTTGATAGGAATAATTAATGAGTAATAGTGGCTTATATCGGATACACCTTATATATTGATCATTTGAAAATGAAATTACAACAAAATAGGTCAGCACTGATTGATTCAATATTTTTCGATCAATTGAAATCATTTTGAGAGTATTTCTCAATTTTTTGTTTTTTTTTCTGCTTTTTTAAAATATCAAAATTGAAGGTTTATTAATTATTAATTGGAACAAATAGAATACACATTTAATTTGATACGATATCAAAAAACTATCAAAAACAATGTTTCGTCTCGGAAAAAACATTTTGTATGAAATTTTAACGTAACTGTCAAATTTCGAAAAACATGAAATAAATTATATCATATTTTCTTATCATAATAGCAAAGCTTATTCAAATAAAACATAATTTCTTTGATAATATAAATTTGACTTAAATATGCTGTAAGTAATTTAAATTTTGAAAACTAGTCTAATATTCTTTGGCTAAAAAAAATTCCTACATTGTAAATGCTGGCGAAAATATTGGCATAATTGAAAAACTCAAATTTAAATCATCTAAAATTATTTTCGAATTTTCTTTGATGTGCAATTTACAAGACTGATATCTATAAAATGTTGTAGTTTAAAATTCTATATAATGCGACACTAAAGTATAATAATACTTTATGCATAATAATAATATAATAAATGTAGTTTAAAATTCTATTGTAATGCGGATACTAAAGTATAATGATACTTTATGTATAAGAATAATATATAAGTATAATAATATGAATTGAATTAATTGAAAAATCGGAAAAGTGCTTGACAGAATTTTATTCAAATTTCAGCCAATATACTCGTAAATAATTTCCAAAATTTCCTCCTTAAATTTTTGCTCTCCAAATTTTATTTCGACTATATTAGAATTTTATTTCATTGCATACTCCATCGATAATGCATTTACTATTAATCGTTTGTTATACAATTTTTTTAAACTTAAAAACTTAATTTAAAATTTAAATTCAAAAATTTAATCTAAAATTTAAATTCAAAAGCTTAATCTAAAATTTAAACTTCCATTACAACCTTCTTCAAGCATATTAGCAATTATTTTTTAAAGAAACATTTTTCATCTTTAATTTGATGTAAAAGACGTATCAGTAAGGAAGCTTTGATCAATCTTAACCGTAATTTTAAAATTATTCAAAACTTTATTTTTAAATAAAAGTGTTATTTCAAAAGTAACTGTGTGAGAGAGAGAGAGAGAGAGAGAAATCTTTCAAATAATATATTTGGGCAAAAAAAACAGGAAGAAGAAGTGCAATAAATTTTGTATGTGTTCTAGAAAATGATAGATATAAAAGTAAAGGGAAATTTGCAAAAAGTATTATTTAAATTACCAGCCTATTTACTCGAGGGAATGGCCTATACAAATAGCAAAATAAGGAAGGGAAGATGAGTTAAAAATGCAAGTCATTTAATTTATGGATTTTAGGAGGAATAACGTTGAGTGGATTTTGGTCCTATAACAAAATTTTATTTTAATCCTTTTTCATCATCATTTCAAATACGCAAACAAAACTTCAAAATAAAACTTATCCAATCACTGAAGAATTCGTATTAAAAAATTCTTTTCAAATAATTTGCTTAATTATATGGTTTTTTTCTTTTTGTTTCAATTTTCTATTCTCTTTAATTTTTCGATTAATTAATTAGTTTGTTAAAAGAAAAAATTATTTTGAATATTTAATTAATTTTAAAGAGAAAATTATTTCTTTCGTTAATTTTATAAATTTCACAATTTAAAAAAAAATATTTTAATTAATAGCTTTTTTTTGTTTAATTAATTTATAAGTAATTATTGTCTGTATTTATTGTTCAAAAAGAAGTAAGAGTAAAAGAATTTTTTTTAATGTTGCATAATTTTTTGTTATCACATATATTTATATATATTGCATTGATTTGATTTGAAGTGTTTCGTGAAAATAATATCAGTTAGAAGTGATAAGAAATATCTATTGATAAGAAATTATTGATTTAAAATCAATGGTTGATATTGTGAAATGTGAATTACATGTTAAATAAAGGTAAGTGAATTTTTCACGTATTACTAATTACCAATCATTTCATTACATTTTAATTAGTTTACATTTGCTATTTTTATAAACAAAATTTCATGAAGTATTTGCAAATAAAATAAACGATATAACTAATTAAAAAAGACTTGTGTTGATTTTAATGAAATTATATTAATGAGAATATAATAAATATTTTAATATAAAATTCATGACAGATTTTTGAAGTATGGTAATAGTATAATATGTTAGTATGGTTTTTTTATTTTTCAAATTTACTATATCATATAGTAAAGGAGCGTTTGTTATATTTACAAACAAAAATTTCTACCATTTCTAAATAGCTAAATGAACTTTTAAAAAAAGGGTGATTCAAAATTTAGTATTTTCAAAGGTAGAAGTATTTTTAACTTGGTTATATAATTCAATTTTCATGATGAGCTATTTAGAATATATGTATATATAATTATATATATAATTAGCAATTAACAATATGAAACTAATTTAAAAGATTTCATTTGGAAATTTTAATTTTATCATTTGTTGTAAATGTATCGCTTATGTTAAACTATTTTTATAAAAATTTAACAAAAGATAATTATTCAAAATTATATAGTTAATAATTATATAGTTAATTGTTAATTATAAATAAATTAAATGATTTATTATATATTGAAATTAGCGTTAGAAGATATTTTGCAATTTTTGTAATCTACATTTATCCCAATGATTGCCATCCAATATTATTGTTATCTTTAATTTACTATTATCAAATTTAAAAGGTTCTAAATTTCGTTCTACTTGAACTTTCTTCTATCAAACTGATTTCGTTCACATAATGCAACAATGATTTGAGATTGATCAAAGTAATATAAGTATATCAGAATAATGCATGAAATGAGAAATTTTAATTACAACTGATATGATAATTTGTTTACATTCGCCGAAAAGAAAAATTTTACAAATTGGATCGATGCAAATCATTCGATCCATAATCATTACAAATATTTATTTTCCACTTTTTATCAATAATATCATTATTTGACTATTTTAATTAATTCTATTAATTAATTTGCACACTGTCAGGTGTAATCATTTTTTCATCGTTTTTCTTAAATTCTTCGCAATTTGTTGGAACATTTTTGAGGATTATTGTAGATACTTGGCCCTAAAAACTTCTTCCATCTATTTTACAGTACTATTTTACAATATATGATGAGGAAGAAAATTTAGCATTTGTTGTAGATGCAGCAATTATCAGGAATCAACATTCAGTAAAGAGATTCGTGGACGAAATGTGCATTGGCTCAAGATCCGGTTTATGCCGATTAAATGAATTAACTTCTGGTCAACTTGGCTTCACCAGACAAATGGTATTTTGATTTTCGTTAATAAAATTTTGATGAAATAAATTTTTCTAAAAATTGATTTATTTAATATTTCGAAATTTTTGCATTTAAATAAGCAACGGTACAAAATATGAATATAGAATTATTCAGGAATATAAAGTTTCATAAACTTGATAATATCAGTGATATTGAGTGATATTGATAGCATATGTTGGGATCTAACATTTTTACGTTTCGTATAATATCATAAAATAATCGAAATTGAATATTCGATAGAAAAAAAATTAACATGAATAGCATTTAGTCTTATGTCAAACTGTTGATTGATTAATTTGATTGATTAATTGAACCATTGATTAATTTGATACGATAATTAAGACGGTGAAAGGTCGAGATAAAAGTTTAACATTTCAGGTTCGTCATACAACTCTACCACATATTACTCTTTTATTTGTCGCCATATGCTATATTATTGTGGGAAGTTTATCATTTACAGCATTTTGTCACATGGATGATCGTACAGAAATAGATGCCACTATATTGGCTAAGTAAGTATAAACAAAACTTTTTTTGCTAAATTAAATTAATTGATCGAATTGTTTTCAATTTATTTATCATAATAAATTAAATTTTGACGATTGAAATATCTCGAAATTCCAGAATCCGAAATAATTCACCATAGCAAATCGATTGTATACTTTCATTTATCATACTTAATTTCTAAGCCAATATATTTATTTAGCTGCATAAAATAATGCATAAGAATGTGCGCTGTTGTAAATTATAATTTTCCGATTGATTGATTTTAGAATGAAAGAAAATTTAATTGCTGAAACAATACGACCACGCTCAATGAAGAGGCAAAAAGAAGATCTCGAAAAATCATTGGATAATTATGCTTTCAAACTTCACAAAATATTTCAAAAATACATTCGCCGATTATTTATGAGAAGGCCGCCAATAGTATCGCTTCATTTATTTTTTTAATCATTTATTTTAGCGCAATTGTAAGACTCTTTTTTAATTGAGCGCATGCTTATTCAACATTTTTAAAGATCTTTAATATATATTTTTATAATATATATATACTTTATATATACTTTATGTTTCATACT